ATTCTTCCGTGGGCTCGAAGAAGTGATCGTGTGGTTCTCCATTCTGGCCCGAGCCCGGCGAGGACAAGTGTCACGAAGCTTTCTTCAGTGATCGTTCCTCCGCACCGAAGCAGGCGGTCGCGGAGGGTCTGGCAGCGACTCATATACTGCATCGCCTTTTCCCCGGTCTTCATCTGTATTGTTGTTAGCTGTTGCATGAGTCTGCTTTGTGTCACGCTGTCGTTTGCTTGGTAAAGGCATTTGAGGTGGTGCCATGCGAGCTCCGCGGAGTTTCCATAACTCCGATACGTTCTGATGCTCTGCTGCTCTTGTGGTGACAGGTTTCTCAGGAGTACCGTGTACGCCAGCAGCGACTGATACGTGAAGATCTCTTGTTCCTTCCCAGTGCCGTTGCTTGGGAATGGCAGGGACCCGTTGAAGTATCCCAGAAGATGCGCGGCCTCCATCAGCAGCTCAAACTCGAAGCTCCAGGTAAAGAAGTCGTGTCCGTTGAACGGTGAGGATGTCTGAAGTTTGATCACGTGTGAGAACTGCGCCTGTAAACTTAAGATTTCATTCGGTGTTTGTTGTGAAGCAGCTGCTGTTGGCTGGGCACGGGGCGGCATGAATTCGAACGTCCCCGGCGAAGAATGATAAGGCGCAAAGGTAGGCGCTTGGTTGTGTCGCCCGAAGGATGAGTTGTCGAGGCTCATCGGCGCTAATCCCATATTCCCTCCATTGCTCTGTGTTGAGTGCGCAGGTGTCCTTGTCTGCTGCTGCTGGTCGAAGTGTGACATGAAGCTGAAGAATCTCTCCATGAGATTCGGGTCCACACTTGAAGAGGGAGACGGAGTCACCATCTCTGGTACTCTTCCCGTTGTTTCTTGAGTAGTCCCGGTCTCTGTCTGCAGTCCTGAGGTGTGCAGACCAGAGTTGCCGTGTTGAGTTTCTTGGGCGCTGGGTGAGCCCGTAGAGACTTTCTTGCCCTTGTTGTCCATGTCTTGTAATCAATGGAGTTGTTGAATCAAGTTGAGTTGCTGGTTGTTGATGGAGTGTAGTTGCTGGGAGTTTTGATCTCTGACCAGCTCTCATACCATGTTGGGCTGAGAAAAGCCCTTAGGATCTTTTGCAGAGACTAAGTCCCAGCTGTAGAGACTTGAGACTTGGAGTAGTGCAGCGGAAGTTGAGGCAGTTGAACCCTTGTACTAGTATGTGAGAACAAGTGATTGATTAAAGAAACAAGCATACAGCAATATATAGAAGATAAGAAAGCAGTTGTAGAATACAGTTACAGGAACGGTTTATCGAGTCGCACAGCGACTCGATTGCCGCTTCGGTTACCATCCGTGATGTTGTAACGGTCAGTCGCAACCTCCAGTTGCGACCTTTCGAGTCCTTTCGCATTCTTTGTCCGCCCCCTCGTGTAACCTCCGTTGACTCGCGTGCTCCCCTGTAATCTTCCTCGAGTACAGTGTTACACTTCAGAAACGCTTAAGTCCTTGGGATATTTCCAACAAAAACCACAAGGCATGCATCCTATCCTATTGTGTGTGAATATGTGCATGGTTTGTAATGGAAGGAATTATTGTACGTATGTAGCCCACATTCCAAGTTTTATCAGTAAATGTTGGTTGGGAAGCTTTCTAGTGGTGAGAAAGGTTTTTTTAATGTGGTGGTGAGGCAAAATGATATGTGCTTGCTTCAAAGGGAATGTTGAAATGTGTTTGAATTTTGATTAGGGCAATATTTTTGTTGTAGTTTTTGAGAAGTTGACGAGTCAGCTTCGTTTCACCTTAAGTCTCATTAGGAGGATGGGAAGTGTATGGTGAACACCATGTCATGTGATCACGGCAGATTCTGTCGACACGTCAGCTTTGCAGGACCTCCGGAAACAGTTTCTGTTTTGTCAAGCGTCGCTGTCGTTTTTCTCCCGTTCCGAACCGCGAAGTCTTCGTGAATCACCCGATCTGTCGCATCCATTCCATCCAAAACACCAGCTCAGCCAATCGTAATGCAGCATCAACAACCCCCCTCTTCTGCCCTCCCCCCACCACACCCCATCCAACCACCACGCCCATACACGTGCAACACAAATCCCCCCCAACTAATGTCCTTGTTGCCGTGCACTCCTGCCACCGGACGCGCAATTGCGCGCTGGCGGAAACACTCGGCAATGGCAAGGAGATGTTTGGCTTGGCAGAGACAGCTGGGGGGTGCTGGCGCGAACTGAAGCAGAATTCTCCCCACCTCCCGTCTTGGGATTGCTTCTCCCGCTCCCCCTCGTCTCATCCTCCGCTCTTCCCCCCCGTCTTTCGTTTACAGAACCCGCCTAACCAGCCCCTCATCTCCCCGCTCTCCCGCCATTTGCTGGGTGTTGTGCGCTCCTCAGAGTTGCCTCCCCCCGGAAACCAACGGCTCACGCGCAACGGTCTCCGCCCCCTCACCATCAGTTTCTTCAGTTCTCCCGTCTTAGTCAGCAGAACCAAGCTCTTTACGATAATTCTGCTGTGTCGTGTTTCTCGCTTCGTCTCACTAACTTTACTTAGTATCGCATAGCTCGCTTGGGTCTCCAGTCTGCTTCCATAAACCGTGTGGCGGTCGCACAGCCAGCAAGCGTCAGGCGAGTTTTGCGCCGCTGATTAAAATTAGAAGGTCCTTCAAGCAGGTTTGTCACTATGGCGCGTCGCAACACGGGCCAGCCAGTCGTCGAGGATGACGAAGACGACTGGGGCTCCAACGCCAAGTGGGTCCCTCCCTCGCAGCGCGCCGCAACCGGCGGCGGCGGCGGTGAGCAGACGCTGAAGGACCTCGAAGACGAGGCGCTGCAGAAGAACAGCGAGTTAACGGACGCGACGCTTAATCTCCGGCGAATCACGGAGCAGACCAAGGGCGTGGCGGGACAGACGCTGGTGACGCTCAAGGAGCAAGGCGACCAGATCCAACGCATACACGAGAACGCGGTCACGCTGGACCAGGAGATGGAGAAGGTAGGTTGACAGCGGAGCGCGCTCTTGATTGACTTGTTAGGTGAATTAAGCGAGCGCTGAGGTGAAGTCATTAGTCAACGCGGTCACGCTAGACCAGTAGATGGTGAAGGTGGGATGATAGCTGAAAAACGCGTCTGAAACGACTTGAATTGAAAGCCACACACGAGCACGCGGTCACTCTCGACCAGGAGATGGAGAAAACGCGTACGATGGCAGCGACTCGCTCGCTTGATCGACTTTTAGTTCAACGCGGTCACGCTAGGAAAAGAAATGGAGCTGTGCTCGGAGACTACCTTTGAGGCGCCTCAAAAGTCGCCTCAAAAGTAGTTTTTTGAGGCGCCTCAAGAGAAGGTGATGATTGCTGTGCCGGGAGAGGTTGCATGCACGCGACGCGACCCGTGCCTGTATGTCAACGCACGCCTGTGATAATGATTTAGGTTTTGAGCAAGCATCCCCGCCCCACTCCGCTCCTTCCGTCTCTCCCCCGCGCCAGTCCGAGAAGCTTCTGAGCAAGCTCGGCGGGATGTTCTCGTTCGGATGGAAGCCGAAGAAGGGCCACAAGATCAAAGGCCCCAAGAGCTCAGGTGCGCAGATTAAAGACCTAAGAGCTCAGGTACGCAGATTAAAGTCCTAAGAGCTCAGGTACGCAGATTAAAGACCTAAGAGCTCAGGTACGGAGATTAAAGACCTAAGAGTTCAGGTACGGAAATAAGAAAGCACGGGGATTGAGGGCCAAAGTTCGAAGGTATGGCAGTTACGAACCTAGGCCCAATATCATCCCCCTTTCCGTCCACCCTGCTCCCCTCTCTTGCAGCCAAACGTACGGACTCAGCTCACAGGGAGTCGCAGGGGCGCCTGATGGCGGGTGTGCCATCCCCCATTCAATCCCCCCTTCCCCAGCTCTCCCCTCCCTTCCCCCCCTCCCCTCCCCCCACACCCCCCCTCCCCCCCCTGACTTCCTGCAGCCAACAGTTCGGACTCGGCATCGGGGGATGCAGGGAGTCGCGAGGCCTTGGGGTTGAAAGCGCCTAAGGCGGGGGCGGCGGCTCCTAAAGGCTCGGAGGGCATGACAGCCATGGAGAAGATCGAGGTGGGGGGAGGGAGTATGGCGCTGCTATTATAACGGGGGTGATGGGGGAGGGGAGGGGGTGAGTATCTGAGAGTGGTTTTAAGCTGAACGGGCTGGAGGCGGGGGCTGCAGCTCCTAGGGAGGGCATGGCATGTCATAGGGCTGTCATGGCATGTCATAGGGCTGTCATGGCATGTCATAGGGCTGTCATGGCATGTCATAGGGCTGTCATGGCCTCCGATGGAGAAGGTCGAGGTGAGGGGTGCTTGGCGCCTGTGGGAGTTGGATTGTAGGGTGGAAGTGGGGGCGGGGAGAAGGCGGTACGGCGGGGAAGGGGGGACGGGGAGAAGGTGGGGCGGGGGGGAAGGGGGGACGGGGAGAAGGGGGAAGGGGGATAATAGCACTGTGACTACAGGGGTTGAAGGGTTCTTAGCCGATGTGGCTTCTCATATAGGCACGGCGGGCAAGATGGCCCAGAGAAGTTCGGGGTGAGGGCTGTGATTGCGATGGGTGATTGTGATTGCGATGGGTGGCTGTGATTGTGATGGGTGATTGTGTGATTGTGATGGGTGTTTATGTGATTGTGATGGGTGATTGTGTGATTGTGATGGGTGTTTATGTGATTGTGATGGGTGTTTATGTGATTGTGATGGGTGGCTGTGATTGTGATGGGTGATTGTGTGATTGTGATGGGTGTTTGTGTGATTGTGATGGGTGGCTGTGATTGTGATGGGGGACTGTGTGATTGTGATGGGTGACTGTATGAGTGTGATCATAAGAGGTCAAAGGGGCTGAATGCTCGTGCGACGGCTCCTCCGACACGGAGGGAAAAGGAGTACCACGGGAATGGCCTGCCAGGGGAAAAATAGATTTCTGATGGCAAGAGACTTGAGAGTACTTGTATTCCATCAAGTGGAGTGACATCTCCGAAGTGTGCCACAGCCTAACAGGATTCGCTTTAACACTTCGAGGGAGGATTGCAGGTTCGGTGGTTACTTTTGACTTCGCAACATCTGAAGGGGTAAAGATTCGAGCAGCAATTGCCACCCATCGAGCGCGTGGCTGTTGTTCTGTAAGGCATCTGGATGGAACAACAGGCCACGCGCTCAATGGGTGGTAATCGCTGCTCGAATCTTTACCCCTTCAGTTGTTGCGAAGTTAAAAGTAACCACCGAACCTGCAGTCCTCCCCCAAAGTGATAAAGCAAAATCTATTAGGGTGTGGCACACTTCGAAGACGTCACTCCACTTGGTAGAATACAAGTACTCTCAAAGCTCTTGCCATAAGAAATGAACCTGGTGTTACACGTGCAAATGGATTTCTGATGCGCCTAAAAGATAGACTCCTCACGCCTCTTAAGACATGGAGTGAAAGGTGTACCACGAGAATGACCTTAAAGCCAGGAGCTGGTTGTGGTTAGGTGGAAGAGAGAGGAGTGGAGTAAAAGGCCTAGCTTGGGCCGGTGAGGAAATTGTGTGAAGCGTTCTGTGCCTGAGGCCTTGTCTTTTTCTGCCCATTCGTCCCATCTCCCCACCCCCCCTCCCCCTCCCCCTCCGCCCCCCCCCCCCTCCCCCCGTTGCGCACAGATGGAGCGCAAATTCCAGGACGAGGTGCTGGATGACGTCAGTGACGGGCTGGATGCGCTGAAGAACATGGCGATGACCATGGGGTCCGAGATGGACAAGTGAGTGGCGCCCCCCTCCCCCGTTCGCCTTTCATTTTATCACATGAGGAACATGGCGATGACCATGGTGTCCAAGATGGATAAGTGAAAATGCCTCTCTCCCCGTCACTACCTCTGCTGTCACGGATGCAAGCAGTCCAACAAGCATCACTGATTCCCACTCCCCTCCCCCTCCCCTCCCCCCCCGCTTTCTCACCCCCTTCCGTTGTGCTCCCCCTCTCCCGCCTCCCCCACCCCCCACTAGGCAAGACAAGGCTTTGGTCCACCTGTCGGACGTGGAGACCGAGATCAACAGCAGAGTGAAGCAGTCCAACAAGCGTCACCTGAACCTGTCATTCCCACGCCCCTTCCCCATGTGCTCACCCCCTTACCCCCTTCCATTGTGCTCTCCCCCACCTCCCTCCCACACACACCAGGCAAGACAGGGCACTGGACCACCTGCCGGACGACATCTCTAGCCCACGCTCATTCCCTCTCCCCTCTCCCCTCTTTCTCCCGTGTACATCCCTGTCCCTCCCCCCTCTCTCCCCTCTGCCAGGCAAGACAAGGCTTTGGACCACCTGTCAGACGACGTGACGGAGATCAACAGCAGAGTCAAGCAGTCCAACAAGCGCGCCGCGAAGCTGCTTGGAAAGCGCTAGCTAGCCCAGTACCACACGCCCGCTTCAGCATATGTGCTAGTCTAGTCTATTGCACCCCTTAGCACCTTAGTTGGTAGAGTGGAAATCGCCCTTGTGTGTGCTGTCTGTGTCGTCTCTGTCACCCCGTTGGTGCGGTGCTGACAAAGAGTCCCATCCAGGGGCCATGTGTCCCCTCTGGTGCCCCTGCTCAAATTTCTCCCCTTCAGCAGCTGTCTATTATGCTGCTGAGCTTCTTTTCTAATATATTCCGCCCCCTGCCCCTTCTGCTGTTTTGGTTCTGGGCTGGGTGGGTGCATCAACGGCTGCTCTTGCGCAGTGCTGTTACCTTGTATGCAACAATGTACATGTGTTTTTGCCTCTTCTAAGTGGTCATCATGTAGATATAGAAAATCATACAAATCTGGTCTGGTGATAATGTACCTAGTGCCTGCTCTGTACATGAACGTTTTTTAGTTGACTAAAAAATCGACTCATTACACATAAAGGACTGAGCTTTCAGTTCAAGGCATGAACAGTTCAAGGCATGAACAGTTCACGGTGATTCTGCTAACCAATCAATCCAACTCTCCTGGAAGGCTAAACAATTCCATCCCATGCCAAGACATGGAGATGGAGACTTCTCTTGAAGGCAGTTCTTGTCAAGAGTACCTACATCCGAAACTGGAAACGGAACGTGTCTTGGGTTGGTTGGTTGGGTGGGGTCCACAGATTTCTCCCACTCATCCTCCCCTTGTCTTTGGGCAGCACCAGCAGCAGCAGAGGGAGGATGGGGTAGGGTGGGGGAATGCGTGAGTTGAAGGTATCCCCGCCCCACAGCTGATGCACCCAACCCCCACCCAAGGAAACGTGACTAGAAACTTGACCGCACCATCCCTGCCTCCCAGTCCTTGCCACCTTCGCTCACCACCAACAGCAGAGGGTGGTTCGGCCAGCAGCAGAGGGTGGTTGGGCCAGCAGCAGAGGGCGGTTAGGCCAGCAGCAGAGGGTGGTTGGGCCAGCAGCAGAGGGTGGTTGTGCCAGCAGCAGAAGGTGGTTGGGCCAGCAGCAGAGGGTGGTAGGGTCAACAGCAGAGGGTGGTTGGGCCAGCAGCAGAGGGTGGTTGGGTCAGCAGCAGAGGGCGGTTGGGTCAGCAGCAGAGGGCGGTTGGGCCAGCAGCAGAGGATGGTTGGATGGAAGGGAATGTGTGAATGGGCCCATTGCTGCTCATCCACCCGAACCCCCTTAAAGAATATGAAAAGATGCTGAAGAAGCTAAAGAAGCTGTTGAAGAAACGAGACTAGGACTGCATGTCTTTCTCCCAGTCATCGTCGCCTTTGAGGACGCCCAGCAGCAGCGGCAGGTTGGGGATGCGGCCATGCCGTATGCTCAGCACAAACTGGCGGTGGGAGGGCACTGGGCACACAGGGGGGAGGGGCAGGGGGGAGGGGCAGAGGGGAGGGGCAGCGTGGGGCCACCAGGGGACGCCACAAGTCAGCGTGGCATTGACTCAGAGGCCACAAGTCAGCGTGGCACTGCTCCGAGGCCACAAGTCAGCGTGCACTGCTCCGAGGCCACAAGTCAGCGTGCACTGCTCCGAGGCCACAAGTCAGCGTGCACTGCTCCGAGGCCACAAGTCAGCGTGCACTGCTCCGAGGCCACAAGTCAGCGTGCACTGCTCCGAGGCCACAAGTCAGCGTGCACTGCTCCGAGGCCACAAGTCAGCGTGCACTGCTCCGAGGCCACAAGTCAGCGTGCACTGCTCCGAGGCCACAAGTCAGCGTGCACTGCTCCGAGGCCACAAGTCAGCGTGCACTGCTCCGAGGCCACAAGTCAGCGTGCACTGCTCCGAGGCCACAAGTCAGCGTGCACTGCTCCGAGGCCACAAGTCAGCGTGCACTGCTCCGAGGCCACAAGTCAGCGTGCACTGCTCCGAGGCCACAAGTCAGCGTGCACTGCTCCGAGGCCACAAGTCAGCGTGCACTGCTCCGAGGCCACAAGTCAGCGTGCACTGCTCCGAGGCCACAAGTCAGCGTGCACTGCTCCGAGGCCACAAGTCAGCGTGCACTGCTCCGAGGCCACAAGTCAGCGTGCACTGCTCCGAGGCCACAAGTCAGCGTGCACTGCTCCGAGGCCACAAGTCAGCGTGCACTGCTCCGAGGCCACAAGTCAGCGTGCACTGCTCCGAGGCCACAAGTCAGCGTGCACTGCTCCGAGGCCACAAGTCAGCGTGCACTGCTCCGAGGCCACAAGTCAGCGTGCACTGCTCCGAGGCCACAAGTCAGCGTGCACTGCTCCGAGGCCACAAGTCAGCGTGCACTGCTCCGAGGCCACAAGTCAGCGTGCACTGCTCCGAGGCCACAAGTCAGCGTGCACTGCTCCGAGGCCACAAGTCAGCGTGGCGCTGCTCCGAGGCCACAATTCCCGTGCATGTCGCCTCGGAGCAGCGCCAGCCCAGCAGCAGAGGCAGGTTGGGGATGTGGTTGGTCGTGCTGTACGCTATGCTCAGCACAAAGTGGCGGTGGGAGGGCAGCAAGGCAACGCTTGAATTGGCGATCCCACATGATGCCCACGCATTCCAACTCACCACCCGCAGACAGTCACCGCCCACAAACACTCACCGCCCACAGACAGTCACCGCCCACAGAACCACCCGCAGCCACAAAGCTGGGGAAGGGAGAAGGGAAATGGGGGACGGACTGGCACCCCCCTGCACCCCCCTGCACCCCCCTGCACCCCCCTGCACTCACCATCTAATGGCACAAAGCTCTGCTGGGCGATCGCCCTGAGGTGGTGCTGGGACAGACCCTTGAGAGGCGGTGCTATGGCACTGAAAGGGATGGGAGGGTTGTTGCAGGGAGAGAGAATATGGGAGGGGCAAGTGGAAGGGGGGACGAGAGGTGAGGCGCTTCCCTGCACGCAGAGCCTGAGGGTTGAAAAAGAAATGGAGGAGGCGGCTGAGGGGCGTGGGCAGTTACCTGAGAGGGAGGGTGAGGTTCTGTTGAACAGCCCAGGTTGCGTCGCACGGAGCATGGAGCACGATGGACGGCCATGATCGTGGTTTGTGATTGCAGTAACAGGAAAGGGCGGGGTTGGAAATAGGGATGGCAGAAAAGAGAGGGGGGGGGGGGGGGTACGGAAATTAGATTGCATGCAAGAAATTAGCCCAGATGTGAGGGAGATTACACACAAACTCAACCGTTCCCTCACCTCTCATTCGCCTCACCTCTCTGTTGCCCCAGAAGTCCAGCGTGCTGATACACACATGCCACTGCTCCCCATCAACACCACCACCACCACCACCACCAGCATCGCCACCACCACCACCAGCAGCAGCATGGCCGCCGGCTGCTTTCCTCACTAGCGCCATCTCGCCCACATATCGAGAGGAGTAGAACCAGAGGCACGCTGACGCCGCTCCTGCCCCCCCCACCACTGCCCCCACTGCCAGACTCGTTCCCAGGGAAAGGGAGGCCTGAGGGCAGGGCGGGGTGGGGAATGATTTAAGGAGCACCACTTTTTGGGTGGTGGCCTAAGGGCGGGGTGTTGAATGATTTTTGAGAATTCTCAAAAATGACTCCACTGAGGGCGGGGAATGCTTCTGAGTCGACTCAAAAGCAGCTCCTGCCCCCCCCACCACTGCCCCCACAGCCAGACTCGTTCCCAGGGAAAGGGCGGCCAGGGCAGGGCGGGGAATCGGGGCGCGCGAGGAGAGCTTGGATACTTTTGATGCTTTGGGGCGATCTCTTTTGATTTTGCAGGGTGTTTTTGAGAATTCTCAAACGCACCCTGCGATTTTTTTTTATGCCTTGATGCTTTGGTTTTTGCAAAGATTGCACAGAAGCATAAGGAGAGTGGAAAGCGAATGAGGTTGACTCTAGAGGAATCTCAAACTGGATAGTAGAGCTGTAGGCGAAAGGACCTTTGAGTCGACTCAAAAGACACCTCAAGTCGTTGACTCTTGAGGAATTCAGAACTGGAGAGTCAACATAGAATTCCTCATGTCGTTGACTCTTGAGGCATACATAGAGCTGCGGGCGAATACATAGACCCTTGAGTCGACTCAAAAGTCACCTCGGCATACATAGAGCTGCGGGCGAATGGTGGAGGAGCGATTTCTGAGAAAGGTTTCAATGTTGGGGTGTGAAAGGTTTTTGAGAATTCTCACAAGAGAAAACATAAAAAAGCATCGAACATCAATGGTCTTCCTTTCAACCCCTCCACTCCCCAGTCTCTCTCTATCTCTCCCTCCCTACCCAAATCCCTCTCCCGCTCCCCCCTCTCACCCCTTGCGTCCGGCCCGCTATAGGCACTGCCAGCAATACCACTCCCCCCAGCTCACTCTGTCCCGCTCTCTCCTCTCCCGTCCAACCCTCCCTTGCCCTTCAGCTACCTCTCTCTCTCCTCACCCCTCTGCTCTGCCCCCTCCCTCTCACCCCTTGCGTCCAGGCTGCTATGGGCACTGCCAGCGACGCCACTCCCACCAGCTGAGCCACCTTGAGCCTGGGAATTGGGGGGGTGGGGGGTGGGGGGGCGGGTGGAGGGGGAAAGAGAAGAGTTAATTATCGAGGATACTCAAAATTCCACCACCCCAAGGGAAGAGTTGGTTTGGGGATTTAAAAAAAAAACCAGACCACCGGCTGAACCGCCTTGAGCCTGGGAAGTGACGTGGAGGGAGGGCGGAGGGGAAGAGGGGGGGGGAGAGAGGGGGGGACAGGATCTTGAGGGCTACAATGAGGTGGGCCTCACCACTCTCCTCTCCACCAGCCACTCACCGCTCTTCACCCCTCAGAAACGCCCTGCACCCCTCTCCACCGCACTCACCTCACCATGAGTCGCAGCAGGCGCATCCACCTCCCCCGGTACACTACCACCCTCGTCTCATCTTCCCCTCCTTTCCGCCCCCCCTCGTTCCCCGCCTTCCCAGGCAATGTCAATCCGCTTTCTCCCCCTGTGCCTCCAGACAACCGCTTTCCTCGCTCCCCGACCGCGCCTCCAGGCGATTCAACGGCTGCAGCAAAAGCTCGGCGCGCTGCTGAGTCAACTGAGACGGCTGAGACGGCAGAGAGCCGCCCATCCGTCCTCGAAACGGCTGTAGCAAAGGCTCGGCGCGCTGTTGACACGGCTGAGGCGGCTGAGAGCAGCCCTTCAGCCCTTTCAACGGCTGTAGCCGAGGATCGGTCGAATACTGAAGCAAAGGCTGGAATTCCTTTCCACGCTGCTCCTTCTGGGGAGAGTACCAGCCGCGCGCTTGGCAGGGAAAATGGCGGAAAAACGGGATGTGCGCGCAGAAGCGCACAAGGGTCGGACGGCGGAGACGCGACCTTAGAGATTGCGGGGATTCTCAGCCAATCGGAGCAGGTCTCCTGCCACATGGATGGGCCAGAGGAATCGGGGGAAGAACTCGAGGGGTGCGCAGACCACGCCGCGATTGGCCGCGGGGACGCCGCGGCCAGGAGGGATCGAGGTGATGCCGCGGCATTGCCAGCGGCGGGGCGCGATAGGGTGGCGTGCGGAGCTTGCCCCAATTGAGCGGAACGGGAGAGTTGCGCGGAGGGCGGAATAGTGGGGCGCGGAGGAGCAATGTGCGACAGGAGGAGCCGTGCGACGCTTGTGCGACAGCGATGACCGTGTGGCGACATATCGCCAGCGATGGCGGTGCGTTTGTCGTCAAGACAGGCGTCTGAAGCGCCGCTTCAGGCTGGATGAGCTGCTGTATAGAGGACTCCGGGCGCTCGCTAGAGTTACTCTCATCTACAAGAACCGGCATAGGATAAAGGCGTTTTGAAATAAAGAAATGCTTACATTTGAGAAAAAAACTCGCTTTCTCTTTGTGGAAAACACCTAAAACTTTATTTCAGAGCATGTTTTTTTTTTTACCACACGTGATAAGAATGATTGTATTATAGTGAAACATAGAAGTTGCAAATACATCCCTGCTTTAAGAAAATCCATCGTGTTGAACATCACCTTCATAGTAACACTGGTACTCGAAAAGAACGTGACCAGACCATGCATACAGCACAGCAGAAACCGAAGCACCAATTCCACTACACATTGCCATTGCACCAAACCCATCAAAACGATGCCAACACATCTGACATCTATTACGTCTCACTTGCAGACAAGGATACCCTTCATCCATAACATGCTCCCACAGAAGACCAATACAGTTCACCACGACCACAGCAATCCCTCCAGGCATTTCACAAGTCACCATCACTCCAGAAAGTGAGGTCCCTTGTGGCCGTCCGCTCCTTCCATTCATAAACTCATGGCCTCCGTCTGCACTTTCACTACCACATGGCTGACCAATCCCACCAACCGCCAGATGCACTGCCGCCCGACCCGCCGCTGCCAGAGTCTGCCATTCCCCCTCTGGATCCTCCAGCCCCACCACCATCAGCACCCCCATGCCCTCCATTGCCACCTCCAAAGCCACCTCCATTATTGCCACCTCCACCAACGCCACTGCCAATGCCGCCGCCAACGCCACCTCCAATGCCACCACCGGTGCTACCTCCGCCGGTGGACGAAGTGGTGCATGAGAAGTCCAGGGTGAGTGCGCCACTGCATTATGGGTCAAGGGTTTGGAGATGGATGGTTAAACAGAGCTCGAGGGAGGAAACAGGATCTGATGGTGCCATCAGGTATTCCATTTCCAATTTGGCAAGAGCATGTGCCACCAATAAATGGCACAATGTGCATTGAGCTGTGCCACCGGACAATAAGTGGAACAGTCCCACCCGACATACATAGTAGCATTGAACCAACAAACAAGCGTGACTGGGATAAGCACAAGCATAGAGCACAAGCATGTTCTTGGTTTCACCTGACTAGACACGAGCTTGACTCACTCATTCTGTCCGTGGAAATCGAGGGCCTGAGAGCCACCTTGGGAATATCCCCAGATGAGGGTGTTGGACCCGTTCGCATTCACTGGGATGGAGCCATCACCTTGCGTGCGAGAGAACCTGCCAGAGTAGGGCGGTACTTGGTGTTAGAACGATATCACATCACACGTTCATAATCACTAGTCACACCATCGCAAGCAATGGGGGCTAGAGAGACTAACTACAAGCTCTTGAAAACAATGACAGTTTAACATATGAAAACTCACTTCATGACTTTGGAGCCACTACCACTGGTAGCCAGCGTCGCACCACTCCCAATACTGAAGCTGCTTGTAGGCTGAACGTCGCTCATCCCATAGCCACTCATGTAGTAAGATGCCACAGCCCCGCCAGGCAGGTTGCCAATAATAGTGTCAGCCGGGGCCATGCGGCCGTCCGCAGTCCATGCCAGGGAGAACCACCCCGCTGCTGCCGTGCTGCCCGCTGCTGCCTCCAAAGCAAGGTTGACCTTGGTCGCACTGGCTGTCTTCCAGTGGAGAGTGAGAGCAGAGTCAAGCTGGATGGAGTAGGTGTAACTGGGGAGGGCGGATGCGGTGCAGGAGGAGGAGGATGGAGGGGAGGAGGAGGGAGGGGAGGTGGAGGGGGGGGAGGTGGAGGGAGGGGAGGTGGAGGGGGGGGAGGAGGAGGGAGGGGAGGTGGAGGGAGGAGAGGTGGAGGGGGGTGCAGGGGAGGAGGGTGGGGAGATGGAGGAGGAGGAGGAACCAACGCAGGAGAAGTCCACCGTGGCCACTCCGCTGAAAGGGGCAGGGAAGGAATTAATGCGATGATTGTGAAAGGAGCAGGGAAGAGGATCATTGATTGCAAACCTGAATTGGTGGCGCATGAGCACACATCAAAGCAGCCCCACCCCCCCAGAAGGAAAGAAGAATAAAATTAAAAAGAATCAAACATGCTTCTTATGCCAAGCAAGACTTCAGTATGCAGCCCACTCATTTTCGCTGTGGAAGCTAAGGGACCAAGAACCGCCTTCAGAGTACGCTCAGATACAAGGAGTTGCAGCTCTTGAGAGTGGAAGTGAAATTCCTTGAAAGTATGTTTCAGCTCACTCACTCATTCTCGCCGTGAAAGTCAAGTGACTGTGAGCCGCTTTCAGAGTAGGCCCAGATGAGCGTGTTGCTGCCGCCAACGTTCACCGGGATGGAGCCATCACCTGTAACGCGGGAGAACCTGACAAGTGGATCACATAGGAGCATGAACGGCACATGATTAAACATGGCCTGGCTCGTTAAGCAGCAATTATTGCGACATGAAATGGCAGAGGGTGAAGGAATCCAGCGGATCTGGTGGCATATAAGGCCTGGCACGATATATGATACTATGAAGTGTCATGCTTGCTGGATGCATAGCCATGAACATGTATAGCCCTTCTTACATCAAATACATACTTGATAATAGTGGAGCCAGAAGCTGATGTAGTTTGGACCGTGTTGCCAATACTGAAGCTGCTTGTAGGCTGAACATCGCTCATCCCATAGCCGCTCATGTAGTAAGCCGCCACAGCCCCGCCCGGCAGATTGCCAAAAACAGTGTCAGCCGGGGCCATGCGGCCGTCTGCGGACCACGCCAGGGAGAACCACCCCGCTGCTGCTGTGCTGCCCGCTGCTGCCTCCAGAGCGAGGTTGACCTTGGTCGCACTGGCTGCCTTCCAGTGAAGAGTGAGGCTGATGGGAGGGTGGGGGGAAGGGGAGGAGCAATGAATTGACAAGAGTATTGGGAAGGGGAAATGGAATTGGTGCTTTCAGAGGCATTTAAAGCCCATGTAAATGCATGGCTTGATATGGGATGGGGAAGAAAATCTGATAAGAACTTTTATTATTTTGGCAAGAGTTTTATTATTCTTGCTTTTCCATTACTATTCAATCGAGGTATTATTTCAGGGGAAATGTTCGGCAGAAACTCACTCGGAGGAGAGCTGCATTGAAGAGGTATAGGCGGGGAGAGATGACGCGTCACAGGCAGATGCAGCCGCACTAGTTCCCGCTGTTGTCGTTCCCAGAGTTGCACTGACCGCTGCGGGCTGTGTGCCCAGAGTTGAATTCCCTACACTTGCTGCTCCAACCCTTGCAGTTGCAGTGTTGGACGAAGTTGCTGCTGCAGCTGCGTTTGCATTTACCGCATCACTTCCATTGCTGCTGCTAGAAGCAGTGGAAATGGAGGCGCTAAGAATCCTGCTGTACACCTGCACGCGCCAACTGCTGCCAATAGTTGGCTTGACGGCTTGCACACGATGCGTGAGAAGCGCACGCCGCCCGGCGGGCTTTCCTGCAAAAGCGGTGCTTTGGAGAATGGCAGCCATCACCACGAATGCAAAAACCGCCGCCCTGGTGCCCATGCTGCGGAATATTAGGTCAGTATGCCTACTCCTGCAAGGGTGCGCTAATGTTTGATGGTTGGAGTGGATAGAGCGATTTGCTGAAAGTTGTTTTGAATGAGTGTGTGATGGGGAAGGGTGAAGGTTCAGACTGAATTTGGCTGGAGCTGGATTCGGAATTTATTCAGACTCAAATCTCTTCCCACCACATTTCTGTCACCCACATCGCGCATCCAAGTTCGCGCGACGCGAGACTGGAAAACGGCCCACGAGATTGGAACTTGGAAATTATTGGTGAAGATCGACAGTAACCGTCCCTCCAACTGCCGAACGTAAACTGCGGCGAAATGGTGGATTCAGTGACGTGGCTGCAACGACGAGTCAGCGTCCAGCGGAGACTGACCGAAAGGAAACTTAGAGTGGCTGCCTCCCCTTCGATGTTGACGAGTCCAATCTCCGAAAGTCAACGTGCTAAGAGAGCCATCACGAATGTTATGAATTATAACTTAGCGCAGAATACTATAGCGGAACATGATTACAATGTTGTACCGAATGTTGATAGAAATGAGGCCTCGGGAATATACACGGCGAGTTGACCAGGGCTGACTGTAAGTCTTCAGCACTGTGACGAGCGTAATGATTACGCTGGCCTGACGAGGTCTTGAGGTCGAACTGCGATCAATGGCCAGAAAGCGTCGAAACAATCGCTTTTAATCTTAGTCGTCGAAGATGTCCAATTATTCAGCTGACAAAACGGGCAAGGGTAAATACTCCAGCGAAAGACTGTGAACAGTGAAACTGTCGCGTGGTCGATTGATGACGACGCGTGACAGATGAATATCTGGAAATGATGCCTGGCGAATAACGTAATGGTCGATGAAATGAAGAATCCGTTCATCAAACGCGAGGTCGTTCGTGTCACAAGCAAGAGCACGCGTCCGTGTCCCACGAAAGTCAGCGAACGCCATCAACGAAGTGACAAAACCAGGCGCGGAAGCGTAACGGTGACGAATGATGCTCGAAGATGGATGATGGAACACGCCGAATGGTGAGTCGGAAAATTGCAGCACAGCTGCACTTCTCCCCTCTCGAAGAAGAAACAGCTCCGACGTTTCCATCTAAGTTGGATCTAACGTTTACGGTGTTTTACGATTTCGAACGATTACGTAGTTTATTTACGTTTACGAACGGTGACGCCGTTTTGGACTGACGTTTACGGTCAGGCTGAAATTTTTCTGGAGCTGCCCGAAAAAAAAAAAAACAGAAGGGAGTCATAAGGTGACGTACATGAACATGTACATATTGGTTCACTCACACAAGCTCTCACATATAGGGGTACTACTACTATTCCTCCAACTGTCTTTTACTTCTCTTCCTAGTCATCCTCGTCCTCCTCCTCCTCCTCCTCCTCCTCCTCCTCCTCCTCCTCCTCCCCCTCCTCCCCCTCCTCCTCTTCCTCCTCTTCCTCCTCCTCCTCCTCTTCCTCCTCTTCCTCCTCCTCCTCCTCCTCCTCCTCCTCCTCCTCCTCCTCCTCCTGCTCCTCTTCCCCCTCTACATCCTCCTCCTCCTCCTCTTCCTCCTCCTCCTCCTCCTCCTCCTCCTCCTCCTCCTCCTCCTCCTCCTCCTCCTCCTCCTCCTCCTCCTCCTCCTCCTCCTCCTCTGGAATGCATCCTCTGGAATGTCGTCGTCGTCAAGCGGCTCGTAGTCATCGTGCTGCTGCTCGTCGATGTTAATCGACGCATGCCCTTCCTTCCGAAAACGCTTCTCAAAATCCTCATGCAACTTGCACACTGTGTGGTAGTTGTGTGTCACGTACACTAGATCCTCGAGGCGCTTAGGACCTAGGCGGTTACGTCGGGTTGTGTGGATGGACTCCCACACCCCCCAATTCGTCTCGCATGCCGAAGCAGACACGCACTGCTTAAGAATCCTGCAAGCCAGCTTGGAGAGGTTGGGACATTGATGACCATTGAACTCCCACCAATGAGTGGGGTCCAATTTACCAGCCTTGATGAGCTCATGCTCGGCACGTGCCTTAGCCTCACCAATGGCGCCTTCCCCCTTCACATAGATGAGAATCTCCTTCTCTACCGTTGTAGCCATCAAAACCCTCGTCCCATCCTTGTCAACAGTGTACTCCCCCTTGTAGTAGTCTGCGATAAACTGCTTGAAGATTCCCGAGCATTCAGCATCCCCCCCCGCTCCAAATATCTTCTCATATTGGTTCGGTGGATATAAAATCCGCCCCGCCACGTGCAATGCACAATTGATGTTCTCGTTCCAGCGGCGACGCACAGCACCCGCAACCCACTGCCGTTCTTTCGCCTTCAAGCAGCTGCATGCCTGCTTGGTGGACTCCTCCAAGTCGAGCATCATCTCATAGATCCTCCCCATAACCTCCTGGTTTCCATCAACTGCACGTAGAAGCATGTAGATTGGCTTCAAAATCTGTACCACCTTCTCAACTCCAGCCCAAAACTTGTCATCCCTGATTGTCTCGCGTGCCTTGGTCATCCGCTCCTTGCCGTGCGCAAAAGCACGCCACCCTGAAGAAAGCACCATTTGATCAAGAACCTTCCGCACATCGAGTAGACGCTGTAGTGCAATATAGTTTGTCCCAAAACGAGTGCCGGCGGGTTTCAGCAACACGAGAGAATTCTGCTCCCTGAAGTGACCAGTGATCCACTGCGCATTCTTCAGAGTGGAGATGAGATCCTGCGCCTTGGTGATGATGCGTGCCGCCCACTTCCGCCCCCCGATGTCTTTCATTAGATTGTTCAGGGTGTGAGCTGCACACCGGATGTACTGCACCTTCGGGTAGGTAGCTTTGATGATGTTGGCCGCACTAATGTTAGGGCTCGCCCCGTCCATTAGCAACCCCACGACATTGCCGGCTCCCACCATAGTGATTGCTCTTTTGAGGTGCTCCGCAATGAAATCGCCTCCCTTTTTCTTCGTTCCACAGTCCACGCCGAACAAGAAGACCGACGCTGTGGTGTTCACCGCCAAAAAATTCATTTGGGGACGGCTACAAAGATCCGTCCACCCGTCAGTCGCAATGCTCACACCGAAATAGATCCATGATTCCTTCACCGGTTTCAGGGCTGTGTCCATGCTAGCCTTGCAATCCTGCAGTAGGCGTCCCATGATGAGCTTTCGCCCTGGTGGTGGGAAGCCAATCCCAGCAGCAGACACCTTCCGCAACATGCCCTTGAAAGCGGCGTGCTCGGCGACGTTGGGAGGGATACGACAAACGTGGAAAAAGGTAGCAACCGCCTGTTGCGCGCTTGTCAATGCTGCAGTTTCGGGACGACATTCCTGGAGCGTCAGCTGTCCCCCGGGCCGCTTGCGGGATGTAGAGCCGCCAGCACTGCTACTGGCGATTTCACTTGTTTGCTTGGTGAAAGCGTCCATAGTCCGTTGGGAGGCTATCCTCTTTGCCTCCTGCCCACTCGCTTTCTCCGATACTACCTTACGTAGAGTCTCTTTCGCTTCCGGAGGGGCATTCTTGCATGCGGCAATGTTAGGGTCGTTCCCAAGAATATGCCCCTGCGCTCGACTAACGGTAAGGGACCATTGTTTATTGCAGAATCTACAGGACTTCTTAATAGTTGCATTCGATGCGGAACCTTCAGGCACGAGAAAGTACTTCCACACAGGGTGCTCATTAGTAGTAGACGCCATGGGAAGTTAGGAGGCAGTCGGACGTGAAAGTAGCTTAGGTTGCAGATATCTGTGGCTTCAGGAAACTAATGACGAGGTATTTAGATTCGTCTCAGTCCTCTGGCATTTGAAGGCGACTTGGCAATTTTGAAAATGGATCAGAAATGCGTGGGTTGTACGCCACGCAATTCTATGCGTAAGTCTCCCTGGAGTGCACGAGAGGTTTGAAATTCCAGTGCGGAATTCGATTCGTTGGAATTCCATCAACTTACTGTTGGCGGAATTCCGCCGTGGCGAAATTCTCGACGAATGGAATGCCCACGCGAAATTTTGTGTGGTTGGAATTTCGTGTACTTCTGGTACACGCCATTCCAAGGACTTGGAATTCCAAAGACTATGGAGTTCCACGTCGGAATGCGTGTTGGAGGAATTCGGCAGAGGCTTGTTCGGAGGAATGAAACCTCCGCGCGGAATTCCAATGTGGTTGGAATCTCGTGTTCTTATTGGTCCGCGAAATTCCACCGACACGGATTCCAGAATGTAACCAAGAATCGCGGAATTCCACACATTCCACGCAACTACCCCCCTTAGCAACCCATCTCACGCCCTCCCTTGCACAACACGTTCCCCCTCCCCCAATCCCTCTCTCTCGGTTCGCATCTTACCGTTCCTTCCTAACTTTCACCGCGAGCACTACGACTGCTCTCTAAACCTACAAGCTACTAAGTCGCAGCTCACTAACACCCCCTAGCACGACGTATAAATCTGCTAGCTTCCCATCTCGTTGATCTGCCCTAATTCTGAGTTGCATGCTGACTGACCCAAAGATTTCTCTAGAGAACTTTCATCATGAACCAGAAATTTTCTCAGAGATTTTTTTTACCTGCCCAGCGCGGACTAACGCGTTAGTCACCGTTCGTTAGCGAAATCGTAAATGATCGCGTTATATTACGATTACGAAACTCCAGAAATCGTTAGTGCCCAACTTAGGTTTCCATGTAAAACTCCAGGGAAACCCAATACTCCAGGGTAATCCAAATAATCCCACGCTGCTGCTTAAAATCCCATCACTCTGCATCGAATATGCCATTGGAAGAAATCCCAACTACTAAAAACGCGAATCATGATGACTCCAAAATCCGCTTCAGGTAAATTGTCTTCAGGGTAAACCGTGTCGAAGGTCTGGAAATTCCGCAACTACTGCTCCATAAGACTCCCACACGAACTCAAAAAAGCTTCAGAAGTCAAACACTGCTTGCAAGCTGGTCCCAACACAGCTCCAACAATACTGCTGCAAAATCTTTCCATTTCGATATTGCTCCTGATGGGTGGCGATGATGCGGCGGGGTCGTGTTCAGACTGTCGGGCGAAGCAGGCGAAGTGACGATTGTGGTGGTAGCGATTAGTTATGAGAAGAAGATGACGACGATGATGACCTGTGATTTGTACGAATCCCGCTCCCTTAAAAAACCTCGAACGGAACTTGGGGTCGAATGACGCCAGCTGCATCAGCTTCTTTGTCCGTACACGCCGGAAATTTGGGGAAGAACCGAAACTGCTGCTGCGCTTGTCCTCCTCCATGCACCCAAATATTCCGAGAATATCGGTCGATGTCGCTCGTACCCCTGAAGAGAGCGGGCACAACTCCAGCTGTAAACCCTTAAACTTCTCCTCAAAACCACTGAAAATGTCGGAATTCCATCTGGTACTTCAAAACTAGCGCAACTCCGCTTCACGGCTACCCGTAAAAACACTCAAGCGTCACGGCGTCCTTTAGCAGCGCCCCCACGGTTTCTCCACCAGCTGTACGCATGAGCGGCACCCTTTATATTAGGGAACACCAGAGTCCACCGCCTCGGCATGATGTTTTGGTCGTCTATCGGGGTCAACAAGCATCATGTTACCGTCGATTTCCGCCCACCTGTTACCCAACTCTAAAAATTCTCCGGTACACTTGTCCAGCTGGCCGTGCAGACGTTCACCCATCTCGCGGCTGCTGCAGGTTACCCACAACCGCTTCGTTGCTGCTTAACTAACTAAGAGAATCCGAAGAGATAGGAGTGCGCACGCGTCTAGTCAGGGGAGATTTAACGAGCTCGCTTACTGACCGCTGGACAGCTCCCTCCTCTATCGAAAACTCGTCAAACTATACCCGCAAACTCCGGAAACTCCTTCTGCTGCATCGGGTGAAACCCTCAGTTCCACTACAACAGTAACTATGAAAATTTCTGGGACACTCCATCAGTACAGTATAGTTTGCAGGTTCACCCCCCCTATTCAGCCAAGAGCCGTCGATTAATAAGTCGACACTGCTACCTGGTGGGGATGGTGATTTCCGGGCGACGTAGCTGAGCGAGCAGCAGCCCGAACGCCGCTAACCCTTAACTGCTCCAGTACTCCCGTCGATCTTCTCCCACTGCTTCAGCTCCTGGCAGTTAACGCTTTCGGCGACCGGTGGAAAAACACTTAATACACACCCAGGGGTGGTGGCCTCAGTTTCCGTTGATCGTGGGAGTATGAATCGCTGGTCCACGAAAAACGCCTCCCCACGCGGGAAGTTGCGCTCGCTGAGTACACTAAATCCAGCATAGCGTTATCACCTCCAGATGGCCGTCGTGGTGAATAACACCGAGGTCGTTAATCCCAGCTGCTCCCACACAACTGCGCACTCACACGTCCTCGTGTGATCGTGTCGTTCCGAAATTGTCGGATCCGCCTATTGCCGAAATAGTCTTGAAGTCCCGTCCATCGTCTGCAACTAGCTTGCCGGAAACGCCGGGACCCGCAAAACAGCTACAGTTCACCTTGCCGCTGCATGGCGTGCCAGACGTACATCGCCGTACGTCCCGCCAATTTCGCTGCCCCGCGCGCTCCTGACGACCAGCTCCCGGCCGCCTGAGGACTCCTGTGCACTTGTCGTTTCCTGACGACCGACTCTTGGCCGCCTGACGACTCCTCGCTTTTTTCGGAAGCCAATCCGAACACTTCATTAGAAACTCCTGAAAATAATGAAAGCTGTAACGAACGTACCCGAAAAACACGGCGAAAACGTCGCCCACTCTTCGACGGGAAATAATTTCGTCTACGACCGGGGAAGGGGATTCCGGCCAATCCCAACCGTCCATCGGACAGGATCCGATGGCATCGGAAATGCCGCGTACTTAATCTCCGCGGCCTCCGCTCACCATCAGCATCCTTCCGCCCCCTTCCCCGATCGGATCTGCTCCCCTTCCGGAAACCTAATGGGCAGGAACGCAGCTCTGTTATCAGCTGTTATGAATTATAACTCAGAGTATAGCGCAGAATACTATAGGGGAACGTGATTACAATGTTGTATCGAATGTCGATAGAAATGAGGCCTAGGGAATATATAGGGCGAGTTGACCAGGGTTGAATGTCGAGGGTTGGACCAGTCAAGGGCTCGATAGTCCCGAGGGTGACGGGGTAAAAATGGGTTCGGGGCGACTCGGGATGAGGTTGGGGACCGTTGAGGTCGGCGGGGGCTGGTTTGGCGCGTGACTAGAAGGCCGAGCTTGCGGAAGCGAAAGGTTCGCATGTACTCGCTGTGGTGAGCCCCAGTAAGGAATCGTAATTCCGTACAACGAAACTGTATGCGTAACAACAGTACTGTTACGTTGCTTATTAATAGGTGCAACATCTAGATTGTTCATACGGCCAAAGCATCATATGGACCTCGGAAATGTACACCTTGGACTTGGCTTTTGGGGCATGCACCTTCCGTCTGCCATGCGTGCTCCTCACTTACCTTCCTCAGACGACAATAGCCATCTACGAGGAAACAACATTTCCTTGTCGGGGTTTTTACTTCGTAACGCGTACACCATTATTAAGGGCTTCCTGTTATTTTAATCACATTCATCCGGGTCACAATTCTCAAATGTGGCCGTACTCGCTAATACGGCTCTCAAGCCCCATTGTTTTGCGCTCATAATAAATGGTATTCAAAGCTAAGGTCCATGCGAAACCTGTGCAAGTTCCATTGTGATTGGTATTTTGGGGGAGTATCACATCCATCCTGGTCGCCCCATAAAGCCACAGCGTTCGTGTTTTTATTATACACCTTAATGCTCGACTGTGTATTTGGAGCATAATGAGCTGAAGCCCCCCCTTGCAATGGTTGAGAGTTTGGATATCACTACCATACCGGAGGGTATTGCATTGTTGGAAGCACAATTGGCTACCATGTGCGCCAACCAGGGCGCTGTACCACGTCGTCTCAACACAGCAATGGCTCGTACAAGTATGGAAGATGAAGCTTCATATGAGGATTTCACAATAACAAACGACGAGCAGATACACATTTCGTCAAGCCTACAGCACAATACATAGAGCACGACTGGGTTACACCAGAGCAAATTTCGTTGAGTTCTGCCAACACATGAAACATTACATAATCATTGCAGATACAACGGCCACATTGATTCGACCCAAGTGTCTGAGGATCGTCGTCCGCGATAGCCTGGCTGTTCACTCGTAATGCATTTCTTTTCAGGAACCTCGTCAGCGTACGTATGAGATACGTTTTGTCACCATTGTATGGTCCTATGATGGAATGAAGGCCCACAATTCTGACTTTGCCTGAAGAAGTGGATACACTGCGGCAATTGTCTGGGGATCTCGGAACTTTAAGCCAACGGCCGGGTAACTTCTGCGAGGTGAACCAGTACTGTACGCGGCTGACGTGGAGAGGGGGTCTAAAGCGGATATGGAGGATAGTGAAATATGGAATAGGGATATAGGGGATAGGGATATGAGGGATAGGGGTACATGAGCTTAAGATATGGAGGATATGGATGTGTAGGATAGGGATACAGAGGACTTGAATATGAGGGATAGGGATATCGGGAATAGGGATATAGGGGATAAGGGAATTGAGGATAGGGATATGTGGGATAAGGATAGAGAGGATAGGGATATGGATAAAAGGGATAGGGAGGATAGGGATGTAAGGAGTAGGGATAGAAGGGATTGGGATTTGGGGTATAGGGATATGGCAAATAGCGATACTGGGGATGGGGATATGAAGGATAGGGATATTAGGGATAGGGATATGGAGGATATGGATATGGGGGATATGGATATGAAGGATACGGATATCGGACAAGTGTGAAAGCTTGCTTAGGTCCTCTTGTAACGGCAGCGTGCTTCATTTCATATGGGCAGCGTGCTTCATTTCATATGGGCAGCATGCTTCATTTCATATGGGTAACATACATGATCCTCGTCCAACAAATGATCATCCACCCATAGTCGGGCGGGTGGGCAGGGAAATAGAACTAGAGAAACTAGAAATGAAGAACGTGGATGAGGCCAAATAGACTCACATCCCTCTTTTGTTGGCGGAAGAGGGTGAGTAGCGC